GCTCCGCCGAGCAGCTGGAGCGTCGCGGAGCGTCAGGGGTATTAAGTACTAATATGCGTGCTGTGCGCGTGCATGTGGTAGATGCCGGCCCTGTTGCACCATACCGGTTGCAATGGAATCCAGAACCCAACACATATACACATAACAATAACATCCTCCCTAGTTGAATGCTGATTAGTATAATAGAGCAATGTTGGTTTCCCACCCCTTACAAAACAGGCCAAAAGAAGTTTCAATGGTTGAACTATTAACATTGTTAATTAAACTGTCTGCCTGTCATCTACAAACTTTAATAATAACAAAATAGTTAACGGGAAAAAACAATAACGATGAACATATTATGTAAAAGTGTAAAAGTAATAAAAATGGTGAACCGTAGTAAGGGAAAGACAAGACTGAAATTCCAAAACCTTCTGGAATCCTGACTATGCTTCCATTATTGCTTTTTTCCTAACTGACGAGAATAAGGCAAAATTTACATTTTGTGTTTTCTAAACTATATCAGATGAAAGTGCTTATTTCAAAAGGGCAAGTGAAGAAAGAAAAGGGGAAAGGCAGATCTACAGCAGCAAAAATGTAAATGTCAGATGTACACATAACTGATTCCTTTTCTTCCATTCCCATGGCTGTTTTGCTTCTATCCGTGCAGTTACAACAGGTAAATGTCACAGCTGTAGAGTCATTTTTAGCTCTAAATTATTTGGCATGGTTTGATTGTGGATTGCATCAGAATGGTATAACCTAAGTTTGGAAAAATGTAGTTAGTAATAACAACACTGTAACAGCAAATGTATGCTTTTATTCAGTGTTGCTGATGAAACTGCAAGGAAATCAGATCAGGCCATCCAAAAAGAAACCAACCCTGGCTGTTCTTTGGAAGGACAGATACTGAAGCTGAAGCTCAAATACTTTGGCCACCAAATGAGAAGAGAGGAGTCCATGGAAAAGAGCCTGATCTCGGGAAAGATTGAGGGCAAAAGGAGAAGGGGACTGCAGAGGATGAGATGGTTGAATAATGTCATTAAGGCAACAAACATGGATTTGGGCACACTCCAGGAGACAGAGGCAGTGGTACCTGAAATGCTATGGTCCATGGGGTTGAAAAGAGTCAGATACAACTTTAGTGACTGAACAACATCAAAGCTGCCAATGAAGGAAATACTTCTGGCTCCTCACAGAAATATAAAGCCTAGATCAGGGGTCAACAACTTGCAGCTCTGGAGCCACATGTAGCTCTTTCATCCCTCTGCTGTGCTCCCTGTTGCTAGTCAGGGCCACAATTTTGAGAGAAGCTTCTGGTTGGTAGGAGGGAAAGCACAGCGCACCAAGAGGAGACTATATGGCAAGGAAAGGGTTTTCTGGTCAGCTCCACAATTGATAGGGCTTTCGGTTAGGACTGGTAAGGGAAAAAGGATGCCGTGCTAGGAGGAGACTCTATGGTGGGGGAACCGGACTTCTGGTTGGCTCCAGAATTGAAGTGTGGGGCTTCTGGTTAGGACCTTTGTGGCTCTTTGAGTGTTTAAGGTTGCCATTCCTGGCCTAGATAACGTTAAGATTTAAAAACTTGACATGGCCCGTTGACATTATAGTTTTCATCAGCTTCTGTTTCTAAAAAAAACTCTCGCTGAAGTTGCTAACAATACTGGGAATCAGAAGAGGGAAAATTAAGTCTTATTAACATTAGGATCTAGGTGACAAATGGGTTTAGAAGCTTCTAATTCTTATCACATTAATCCAGGCTTTTGTTTAATTGCTCTCCAGAATAACTGTGATGCTAAGCTTCATATACCACAAATCTGATTCTGGCAAAATCTTGCTTAATATAAACAAACTGCATATTTGTGCAAATAAGAAATGTGCTTTCCTGAGTGAAACTGTTAAATTAAGTTTAGTGTGTCATCTTAATTATGCAAAATGGAATGTAATTCCCTCATTCTTATCCTACAGTATTCTATTCTGAGCTAAGAAGAAAATGAGACACTAACATCCCTGCTTGCGCCAAGCTTGCAGTTTCTGATTAATTCAAAGCAACCTGTTTTACAATGGGCTTCATTATTCCGTGATGAATGTAGCCTGTGCCTGCTGTTGACTTTAGACACTAGGCAATGATGTCAAGAGTTGTCAATGAAGTGTAGACAAAAAACTGTTCTTATATAGTACATTGATAATACTTAACGTTTCTCCACTATGTTTAACATGGTACAATTACATCCTAAGTCTTCTGAAACAGAAGATGAGACTGACATGTGACCTGAACATCCAACTGAAGTCTTTTGTGAAGAACAGTTTTAACTAAGCTGCTAACATTACAATCAATCTTTATACAATCTTAATGCATGGGTATGCAAGACCGCAGTACATTTTCATCTTCACTTACCATAACATCAGATCCTAAGCTGAACATTAACTTACCAATAAACTGTGATTATTGAGGCATTTTTTTGTATTAGCCTGTATATGTTTTCTAGCCTTTTTGAAAGAATTGCTACTGTATGTCACAATAGTTTTGAGATGCTTGATTATAAGCATTACAAACTTCTTCAACATTACTTCTTCATCCTATAGCTTCCTACCAGGGTGGGCTTCAAAAATTGCAGCAACGGGTTCACTGCCATATTGCTGGGTGGGTGTGACCATGGTGGGTGTGGCCTACTTGCCCTCCTGCACCATGGGGGGGCATTTTTCACCCTCCCCAGGCTCTGGAGGCTTTCCTTGAGCTTCCGGGAGGGCAAAAAGTGCTTCTCCCGGGCTATGGAGGCCCTCCGGAGGCCAGAAACAGGCCTGTTTTTGGACTTCCAAAATGTCGGTAGGCCCATTTCCCGCCCCCTCCCCGAGCCTCCACTTACCTTGCATGATGAATGGACCACGTGGAGACTCCTGGGAGTGGAGGGGCGGGGTGGGAGGGTCCAGCCAGGGGTGGCATTTGGGGATTCGCTGAACTGGGCAGAATCGTAGCTAGAGGATCTCCTGAACCTGTGAGAACCCCAACAGCCCACCCCTGCTTCCTACACCTCCTGCAAGTTACTTACATAGCCAAATATTTATAACATTTACACTGTTTCCTCAAATAGGAGCATTCTCACTCTAGCAGTCCATAATCTTCTGTTGAGCTCAGTTCTTCAGCTTATGGCAGCCCCCACAGAGATAAAGGCTGTTTACAATTTTCGACCATTCTGCTTTCCTTCAAGCTCCGTCCCAGAGAGACAAATTTCCCTCTGCTGCCTCCTGAGACTTTGATCTGTTTCATATAACCAAAACATTTTCTTATTCTGTTATTGATGCCATAATTTTAGCCTGTACCCGATTCCTTAATTTTTAAGGAAGGAGAACGGATTTCCCCAATTACAGAACAATACCTTTGCTTTTTGTTAAAAAAAAACAAGCAAACCCTACAACAGACATGCTCTCCAGTAGGGGGAAAAAAATTCTGTCTCTTTACCCGAACTGCCTTCATATAAACTGGCTGTAAAATTGGTACATGGTGGGAAATTTCAGCCCAACTGTGAAGCATTTCCAAGAACCTGTTGATAAATTGAGAGGAAAACTTATTAGAGCTCCTTGGTTTTTTTTTTTTAATGTTTGATAAAATTGGAATGATGCGAACATGGATGGTGGCAAAACCATGCAGAGGGAGGGCCAATGAACAATGCATTCATGGCTGCTTGCTGGCATCTACTGACTTGAAGGAACTATGACGGCTGCTGTAAAGGGTGCATCTCAGCTGCAAAAGGAATGCTGAGTGGGAGGGTGATTGAGAAAGACCAAGAGAAAGTCAGGCTTCGGCATTGCTACATGATAGCATTAATCAGTCTTGTCTCTCTTGACTAACTTAATTCCAGAGGAACCACAAGAAAGAAAAAGCAAGATAAACCAGTTGTCTCTTTTTCAGCACTTACAAGATCTCAGCGTCCTCTTCACTATCTATGGCTGAAAAGTCTCCCCCCCCCTGCCCCCTTAATAATTTAGCAGCACACTAATAGTTTGGTCTATTTTGAAATGACAATTCACAATCATTCTCTTTTTAATTAGGGGATTTCTAAAATAAAGAAATTATGTTTGTAATCTTATAACATATAAATTCTCAAAATCACATGAATTATAAGCCAAGTTTTATTTACAAACATCTGGATCCCACCTACTTCAAAGACTCTGGGCAGCTTGCATTCCAATAATAAGACTATAAAAACAATAAACGTAAATCAGGAGTTAAACTTCAACAATAAACAAACCAGGACAACAAACTTCAATTAATCATACCCTCTTTAGGTAAAGGTAAAGGTTCCCCTCACACATATGTGCTAGTCATTCCCAACTCTAGGGGGTGGTGCTCATCTCTGTTTCAAAGCTGAAGAGCCAGCGCTGTCCAAAGATCTCTCCGAGGTCACGTGACCAGCACGACTAAATGCCGAAGCTGCACAGAATGCTGTTACCAGCCCACCAAAGGTGGTTCCTATTTTTCTACTTGCAATTTTACATGCTTTCAAACTGCTAGGTTGGCAGAAGTTGGGACAAGTAACGGGAGCTCAATCTGTTACGCAGCACTAGGGATTCAAACCGCCAAACTGCCGACCTTTCTGATCAACAAGCTCAGTGTCCTAGCCACTGAGCCACTGCATCTAGTCCCTCTTTATCTCCACTTAAATAGCAATTAGTTCCCCAAACAGTTCTTACTGGACAAGTTATTCCCAAATGTTTGCCTGCTTCTGGACTAATGAAAATGTTTGAATTGCCCTATTTAATTGCAGTAATTTAAATGAAAAAAAAAGATGAAATCATGGATGACTGTCATAGCCTCTATCAGTGTCCACAACTAATAGACTGGAGAAAGCCAATGTCAATCTGATCTCCCAAGAGGCAAGACAAATATGAACGTACACAAGAAGAACTTTTTCTTTTATGGCCAAATGAAGACCTTCTCAAGTCAGTCTTTCAACGTCTGCATTCCATCAGTAGCTCCACTCTAGTTTGCTGATAAAAAAAAATCTCTTACCTTCCAATAGAGCTAAGGAGGCAACTTATATAGATGGAGAATGTTTGGGTGCAAATGTCCCTCCTTATGACTTGCTAACCAAAAGTAAGCATCACACCCATAGCTTAGTCACTTTTTGCTTTGGACCCAACCAATAATGGAATCCAGAGCTTTGACAAAGATCATCTAACGTAGTACAGATCCGCAAAGTATTTCCTACTTATCTGTAAATATTAGTGGATTTTTCCTACCTTGAATTGTATTTTTAACATAATTGTTAATGTGCCTTTTTCTTTAGGACAGGGATCCCCAAACTGTGGGCCACAGCACACTAGTGGGTCATGAGGGTTTTGCAACCAGGCCACGGAAATGGTCGGCAAGCATCCGTGTGTGTACAAGCAACCTCATTTGTGTGAGCCACTCGCACAAGTAAAGCTGCATGTCTGTGTTGCTCATTACATTGCTCATCTAACTGGAGCTGCATGCATGCGCTTGCTGGCTGCTCATGTGGAACAGCCACTGGTCCACAAAGCCAGAAATGTTGGGGAACCCTGCTTTAGGAAATGTCAGTATAGTGGCTGAGCTGAAAATGTATGTCTTTTTCTCTATCTTATTATTTGGAACTTTAAAAGTAAAAAAAAAGAACTAAAAATTGATAAGAAATGTATACCTCACTTCCTTTTGTGGGATGGTATTTCCTATTCCAAAGTCATCTGAATTTTGGGACTTTCTACTTTCCATAAAATTGCATGCTTGTAACCAATTCTAAATGCATTATTTGTCCTGCAGAGGAATACATTTTTAATAATGCCCCCCATTAGCCTGTGGTTAATATGTGCTAACTAAAGCTGTGCTCTTTTTCTTATGGACTTCTGTATAGAGTAATTTAATCTATTTTGGGCATTCTGTTGAAACTATCCCATATGCAGTAATTAAAACTAGAAGTTGTGTATACTATAAATCATGCTGGCATATGCTGCCAATTTTCACACAATATACTCAGATCAATATTCTCTTTTATAATAAAGAAGTTTCCTTTATTATTTGTTGAAAAACAAATAGGAGGATGTTTTTCTCTATTTCTCCCATAACTCTGTAGCCACTGTAGTGGGAGGGATCATCCCTCTGGGAGATCACATATGCTCCTTAAGGAAGGAGGAAATAGAGAAAAATGTCATCCCATCCCTTTCCAATGCTTTGGAATTTCACTGAGTGTTGGTTTGGATCCAGTCCACTGAAAACAGAGCTTCAGATCAACCTGGATTGATTCAAATTAATATTACATTTTCATTAGGTTAGTAAAATTGCATGTTAATCTGCCCTCAAAAGTCTCTCCGCCTATAAAAAGTGAAAAGTGGCTTTGAATCTGTTAAATATTTTGGTGTCAAATCTCAGACATGCTTTTATTGGAGATGAGAATATTCTGGGTGTGTACGTCAACAAACCTGACACTGAGAATTTGCCCTGAGCTGTAACCCTAATCCTAACCCTAACCGTAAAGAGGTTTTATAACAGGACGATTCTTTACACAAAACCTATTATAGGGATAGTCAGAGCCTAGCATCTAGCTCAATGATGGCTAACCTTTTTCTAAAGGTGTGCCAAAACTATGTGCGCACGTACTATCACACATGTGTGTGTGCCCATCCCCCCTGTACATGCGGGAGTGACCCACCCACCGCGCATGCATGAGTGACTCCCCTGTGTCGAAGGGAAAACGGCATCCCCGCCCCCCGGAGGCCCTCCGGAGGCCAGAAACGGCCCATTTTCCAACTTCCGGTGGGCCTCGTAGGCCTGTTTTTTGCCCTCCTCAGGCTCCAGAGGCTTTCTAGGAGCCTGGGGAAGGTAAAAATGGCCTCCCCTGCCCCCCGGAGGCCTGTTTCCTGACTTCCGGTTTGCATGTTGGGCCATTTTTCACCTCTGAAAGGCCACCTCTGAAGCCTCTGGAGGGCAAAAAATGAAGGCCGAAATCAGCTGGCCAGCGCACACATGCGCGGTGGAGAGGACCGGGCAATGCTTTGCATACACTAAGAAATGGCTCCGCATGCCATCATGGACCTAGCTAATTGCATCCTCCCTGGGGGGACTTCAAGAGCAGGACCTCTGCACATTCATAGCTGGGAAATACAGCAGAAGTAAAGGACATCAGATAAATTATTAAAGAGGAGCACCAAATAAATCCTGGACTCTATCTGCATCCTTTGTAGGTCACGGCGCACTGAAGAATCAGTGCTATTAGAATTGCACTTTCAAGAATTGTGCGTATAGCAACTATATATTAGAGGACTTGTCATAGTAACTCTTGAGGACATATTTTGAAGTTACTACATTACTTTTAAAGAGGTTATTTTGTTTTTGGGAAGCTGCTCCCTCATGAAAATGCATCCTTTAATTATCCATCATGTAAGCTAACAAGACAGCCAAATAGTTTTCTGTGAGCAAAATTCACAGCAAAATTCTAGAGATAAGCTACAAAGGTAGCCCTCAACTTACAACAGTTAATTTAGTGATTGCTCAAAGTTAAAACGGCACTGAAAAATGACTGTTAGAGCCGAGGTGGCGCAGTGGTTAAATGCAGCACTGCAGGCTACTTCAGCTGACTGCAGTTCTGCAGTTTGGCTGTTCAAATCTCACCGGC